GAAACATTAAACTTAGGACATTACTACAAACAAAGCATTAAAATAAAAGCCAAGTCCATGGGTTATTATTAACGGAAAATAGAGCGGTCTACATGAAATACTGATTATTTTTAACAACCTTCCAAACTTCCTCATATTCGAAGTCTCTGCCGTCACGCTCACAGATGTAAAAATCTGTAACAACTTCCAAGAACTCTTCTTCGTCCCGACAACGAAGTTTGGTACTTTTCGCATAATTACACGCTCGATTGAACCATGTCACTTCTTCCTTTACATCCTTCCATTTAGTAACAACATCTGATTGTTGTCGTTGTTGTTCTTCTCCCATCTCATGGTTGAACAAAGCTGTTATGCGAGTCCATTCATCACCTACTAGGCAATGCGGGGGAGCAAGTAACGATACACCATCCTTAACACTTAGCCAACATCGTGTTAGAACCAACACCTCGTTTGTCGTCCATGGCCGTTCAGAATTGGAACAAGGTACTTCATTCGAAGAACTTGCTGCATTCGACGACATTTCTAAATATGGGAGTTGGTTTCCTTTAGGTGATTTGGGTGTTTGGTTTTTAGATCTTAAACATCTATTTATGTTAATAAATACAGGACTATGAATTACAACTTTGACTACGAATTGGTTGCATTTGGACTACGAATTGCAGGTTACTGCAGTGACTTATCATGTCAAACAGTCAATTATGTCTTGTCACTTAAGAGTTTGACTACGAATTGCAGGTTACTGCAGTGACTTATCATGTCAAACAGTCATTTACGTATTGTCACTTTTCAAAGTTTGACTACGATTTGCAGGTTACTGCAGTGACTTGTCATTAATGTCTAGTCATTTCAAAGTTGGACTATGAATTAGAACTCAGACTATGAAATGGTAGCATTTAGACTAGTATGTATAAATACCACTTATAGCACCAGTTTATTATAATGTCGACTTTATTATGAGTTCCTCACACAAATTCGAAGTTTGCTCATGCAACGAAGTAGATTGTTACTACTGTGATTCAGTCGACCCTTTTTTTACACCCTCTTCAGCCGGGCCATATATGTCAGATGAAAATTTTGAAGAATTGAAGAAGGCTGAAGAATAACAAGAAGAGGACAAAGAGTCATCCCGACTTCCCACTCAACGTGGTAATGATATTGCATCGGAATGCAAACAAGCTCAAGAATGGATAGACCTCAATAAAAACAAAATCAAAGAGCATGAAGAATGGATAAAAAAGACTAAGAAGGCAATCAAAACGACTGAAAAATGGCTTGCTGAGAAGGACGAGCAGTTGATACACATTATGGTGCAAAAAGATCGTTTGGAAGACAAAATGAGAATTAGGGATGACTATATAACAATCGAGAAAGAGAAGTACCCATTGCAGTTCCCTGAGTTTAAAAATTAGTTACAAAATTGTTGTAATATTAGCATGATACACCTTTGGTTGCAAAAGGATCGTTTTTTTTTTTTTTTTTAAATAACATCTTGTAATTGTTATAATCTGCAAACTAAATTTTATAATATAAACTAAACTAAAATATGAAAGCATAGCAATGTCTTGTAAGATTTAATAAAAAAATTACAATACATAATAAGTTAACAACTCTTCATTTCAAGGTTGTTTTATATCAAAATCAGCGTCATAGGTTTGTGAGCAACTCGCTGAACCACCAATATTAAATGACATTTCTGCAGTAGAAATTGTGCGACGTACTCCACTACCGGACGCCCTTCCAGTACAGTTGTTTCTCGTGTGTCCTAGTTGACCACATGTAGAACACTCTTTTCTAATTGGACCCTCGCCTTGGGATGGAATGCGGTCTGTGTTTCTTGGCCTGCCTGGCTGACGTTTATCCATTATAGGTGGCTTAACAATCATCAAATCATCGAGGATATCCCATTTGGATGGCTTTGGCAAAGGGTTTATTGATTCCTCATATGTTTTCCTCAGTGTTTCGGTGAAGTAAGCATTTAACGCATACCTCGAGCAGTCTTGGTAATTGTTCACTGTTAAACATCTTATGACATGACCACAAGGTATCCTATCAAGTTGCCAATGCCTACATGTACATGTCATATGTTGGAAATAAACAATCACGTTTTGTGCCTCCTTTTTGACCTCGCATTTCCTATTTGAGATCATGCTAACATCCCACTTACTAAAACTTTTTTTGTTTTCTTTTACAATTTCATCGGCCCAAGGGGTGAGTGTTGTTGTTGCTTCCGCTAAAAAAACAGGCAATATGAAGAAGTTAAGATCAATAACATTAAATTAATAAAACATTAATATGAAGAATTTAAGATCAATAACCTGCAAAGTTACGTCTTTGAAACAACCACTGTTGCATTGTTGCACGAAAAAATCGATCAACATAAGTATCGGCACCTTACGTGCGTGTCTAGATAATGCATTTATAGACTCGACACTGTTAGACGACATAAGATTGCATCGGTTCCCTCTAAAATGTGCCCTTGACCAAGTTTATGGATTTATACTTTTTAAGTACTCCCATACTGGTTCTTTTGTCTTTTTCAAAACATCCATGGCAGCGTCAAAAGCATCAACTGTGTACGCCCTACAAGCCTCCCAAAAAATTCCTTTAACTGTGTTACTCTTCCCGAATCTAGATACTACGTTGAAATACAAATGGACACCACATATTCCGTGATGAGCGTGAGGAAAAATGTTGGCAACGGATGTTGCTATAGATGGAGACCTATCGGATATAATTGTAAGCTCCTGCATATTGCCTATGCAATCACGTAGTTTTTGAAAAAACCATGTCCAAGAATCTGTACACTCATTTTTGCATATACCATATGCAACCGGTAATATTTGGTTTTGTCCGTCCTTAGTAACTGCAAGTAACATGGTACCTTTGAACTCGCCCTTTAGGTGGGCTCCATCTACTACAAGGGTCGGTTTATAAAATTTGACAAAAGCGCGTACCTACAATACATTGTATATCTATTCAAATACACCAAAATAAAAATGAAAAAACTAATAATATATTAAAATACTAACCGAGCAACCAAGTGCGACGTACAAAAACTCAAAGCGATCATCACCATCTGTTTTAATATGTGTCACCGTACCCGGATTATGTTTGACCAAATTGTGACAATAAGCCGGAAGTTTGGTAAAAAAATCCTCTTTCGTACCCCTTAACAACAACAATGCATATTGTTTCGCACGCCATGCCTGATGGTATGAGATATTGATATACAATTGAGCATTCATATCATTAATAATATCTTTTCCCCAATAAACTCTACTATAATCTTCAGCCAAAACATCAGCAAGATATTCACCCAAAACATATTTGTTTGCTTGTCGATGATTAGGTTGCAAAATTGTTGAAGAACATGTGTGTACATCAACAAATTTATTCACTTGGAAAAGTCCATCTGAATTTTTAATTTATTTTGCTCTTAGTAACCAAGAACAATTTTTCGAAACACACACAACCTCATACCTTGATTTGGTGGATCTACTTGTCCTTGTCTGAAAACCTTCTCGAAGTCATTTTTTACCAATACACCGCTTTAAAAGTTCTTTGTTCTTAAATATACTCTCACATTCAATCTTTTGAAGATTGATGTCTACCATCTGTGTTGGGATATCTTCATTAATATCAACTGGGCATGCTGGTACAGGGGGCATACCGTAAAAAAGGTTATCGGGAAACTTAACTTTAACTTCATCACCCAACTCATCTCTATCTGAATTGCTTTTTAAGTCGGTTATATCTAAACGTACATCAACAACATCAACATAATCCCCGTAAACATGCTTTTTTTCATTTTTTTGACTCATATATTTTTTCTTTTTACTTTTATCTACTACACGCCTATTCATAACTTTCACTTCTTGTTCGGGAACATCATCACAACGACCACCCACATCATTAAGATATGTACCAACATCATCATCACCAACATACTTGTAATTCTCAGGATCCACATAGTGAATAGGTGAATAACTAACATTAACATTTTCAGCAAGACTGTGAAACTGATGTATGCTAGGAGTATTGAAAGTACCTATTGGATCGTTGCTCCCTTTATAGCTGCATAAATTACCAACCGACTGATTTCCACTGTGACCAGCCTCATTAACCTTATCTCCTTCATCAACCACCACAAACACTTTGACAGCCCTTCTTCCACTACATTTGATTACATTTATCAACATTCTAACATCCATGTCTTCAACTATAGCTATATAATAATTCAATTCAGGATGATGGAAACGAAGACTAATTCTATATTTGTCTAACAAACCAATTTTGCTTCTCACCAAAGATACAAAATCACTATAACTAATATACTCATAAAATATCAAAGCGAATTCAGAAATACCTCCCTGTGGACATACGTATTCCAGATTTGTTTCAATAACTTGCCATCTCCCACCGGTTACAAGACAAACCAAATATTCAATCATTTTTTTAGAGAGATTTTAGAGAAATTTCCTCCTAAACAAATAACAACTAAACTGATAATTTTCTACAAAAGTTTATATATAGTAAGGTTATTTCGTAGTCAAACCAATTGATTTCATAGTCAAAATAAAAAAAAATTAATTTTTTTTTCATAAAATCACAGATGAAATACAGAGGAAATCGCAGATGAACTGTGTCCATCTGCGATTTAAGCCTGCTCCTGCCCTATATATATATATAGAAAAAAAAATAATAATAAAAAATACACACCTGCGAATGTACAAGTGGCTAAAGCACACTTGTACATTCGCAGATGGAATGTGCAAATCGCAGATGGACCATTCCCATCTGCGATTTTTGTGGTCATTTTTGCAATTTCAAATTTTTTTGGCTATTTTCCACAAAATGATTAATATCGTTGGCTATTTTTGTCATTTTGTCTAGTTTCAAAGGTTCAATATACAATATTAACTACATAACATCCGCGTATTCTTTAACCCCTAAATATATTTTATTAAATTGATGAAAATACGTTTTTTCAGATAGATAAATCTGCAAAATTGATATTTGATATCACAACAATTTACAACCCTAGTCTCTGCGGGGGTGTTCCTTTTGGATTTTGAGGTCGGAGTCACTGATGAGCATTAGGACTTTTTCGAGTTTCCATTCGCAGCAGTTCATCTTTTCCTTTTGCTCTGTATGACATTCATAGCGTCAACGGACCGAGATTGATAAGCATAAATCTCTTAATATCTCTGTATCTATTTAGTTCTGGAATCGAATCGATCATGGTGGGACAGAAGCTGTTCAAAACGAGGATATGCGTACTGTATAGAAAGGGTCAATGCCATCGTCAGAGCTGCTCCTTTGCCCATGGCGATGCCGAGCTCCGTCGCTACAATACTTCTTCGTCCTCCTTCAATGGTACGCATTTTCGCTTTAATTTATCATTAACACCAGTTATGCTTCTATTAGGGCTAGCATACGGTTAGAGAGTGATATCAGGATCTGAGTCATTAAATGTTGCAGGAGGCCACTAGGGTAACGATGACCACTATATATGTGTTTGTTTCTCTTAGACCACAGACCATAGTTGATTAGCGCTAGCATACCCTCTGTCCCTTTCTCAAATTTAGGTACCATGCTGAGATAATGATAGAATAACATATATGAGAGAAATGTTCAATAAACGATTAAATTGGTTGATTGCAAATTTGCAATGGTACTCTAATAGTGGATACTATTGCTGCCATTGTGATTTATCAATCGTTGTATATTAAATTTAATTGGATGGGGTAAAGAAGGTTCATGGAACTACCAGTTCCTGTATGCTTCCCAGTTATGATCATTTGTTAAAGTTCATACATTGATTTTTTGAATGGTTTTTGCATCTAATGATCTAACTATTTGCATTTCCGTTTAATATCTGACCTACTCCAGTAGGCCCATGCTTGCATTTTGGTTGTTTCCCAAGTGGCCATTTGATCCTTGATATATCTTAGAGCTTCTACAACTCTCTTTGAGCTCTTTAGGCTGCAGTTTCAACTTCTCTTAAATCTAGCTTAAGTCAACAGGTTGCAGCAGATAATGCTTTTATGAGTATATGTATAAGAGCAAACTTCCAACTTATCTTTGATTGACTGGAGATATGTCATCAAGTTTTTCAGTTGGGACTCATAACTGTATCAGCAGTTTCTTATCCCATTATCAATTATCAAGACATCATCCGACAGGCATATTATGTTCTCATCAGAGGGGATTGTGCTGGTTGGTTTTTCTTATTGTTGCTTATGGTATTATTCTCGGGAACTTCATCTTCATGGGCATTCATTCTATCTTCCATAACTTGCACGTCATCAGATGGATTTTTTCATACATTCAAACACTTTTCTGTTAAGTTCTCACATTCATGCGGATGGAGTCTGCTATTTTCTCTTCTTGACTCCTTCACTTCATGAAATATCATACAGCCAAGGAGAATATCAGACATATTGTAATGTTATATTCATATTGTTCAAGAAGAGAAAACATATCATCTTCTTATCCGTTCCACGACATGTGAAAGTATTCTCAATATTATACCTCAAAATTAGGATATATTACATATCCACTTCTTTCCGTTTTATTTGAGAGGTGTAGTTTCTATGGACTGGCCCCTTTGGAAGTCGATTGAAGGTTAGGCACCATAACTTATCATTATTCTATTAAGATGTGGTTCCATCTAATGGTAAGGTGTATCTTTGTTGTTGGCTATGGCCCTTGTGATTATCTTATTTGAACTCATCTTCAACCTACTGGAAATATTCTTTTCATGTTTTGCAGGGAGGCAGGACTATAGAGGTGCTGATTTAAGAGATAAGCTTGGCAGACATCGCTCCCCACCTTGGAGAAACTCTCTTGACAAAGATGCAAGAGACAGACTCCCATCTCAAGGTTAGAACCTACCTCTATACTTATAGCCAAACTTCTTCAATATTCTCACTTAAAATCCTCACTTCTTATTTTGTTTGTACAATTTCTTTATTTTTGAAACTTCTTTTGTTATGTTGCAGGACATAGTTCTCCAAGATTTGGGAAAAAGAGGTGTGTTTCTGAAGTTATATATCTCTCTCTTTGTTTTTGCCCCTTTCTCACTTCTCTTTTTAATTGTTTTTTGTTCTGAAGTTACCTGAATATTTGAGTAGGCTAATATGTTTCTTGGGTTATTGTGATACCCCTTTTTCACTTTTGGGTGCTTTTGCATGCTTATCTTTTACATCTTTTGTCCACGGATTTATTTTTTTATTTTTTCATTTCATACAATATTTCTATTACATCATGGTTCAAATACATAAATAACTTTGAAAGCTTTTAAAGTAGATTTGCAGAACCCGGTAACCTATAGTTCATCAAAAGCTGTTACCGGTCTTTATTTACTTTCAAGATCCTGAGATGCATACATGAATATGCAAGCTTTATGCTTAGTGATTAGTTAAGGTTTCATGCTTGAATACCAATTGCTTGCTTGCTTAGTGTAACTGTAAATGTTACACATTTTCTCTTTTGACACCTTAAACTTTCAACAATTACATTCCAGATTTTAAGGCTTATTATTTAAGCTCCTTAACAAAGTACATTGTCTTTCCTTCTTACCTTGCTTTTTTTAATGCTTGTCATTTGTAATTCTGGATTTTAAACCATGATTAAGGTTATATTTGAACTTACAGACTTGGGCATATTACATATAAACATGTCAAATTATCCACTTAACTTGAAATGTGATTGTCAGTGCTTATGTTTTATGTTCTTAAGTGCAAAGGATACTTATAGTTGGTCTTTATAACCTTAATACTTTATTTCATATGTGTATTCCAGTGAATGGAGTCATAGGAAGAGACATCACTTTGATGGTGAAAGTGAATATTCCGGAAGCTTTAATTTATCAGATGGGGGTGAGCAAGGCAGAGAAACAAAAGCCTCATCTTCAGAAATTAAGGATGATCAGGTTTAATTACCAGTCTTTTTAGTTTGACTATAAAGGTCAAACCTTTCAGGTGCTTACTTATCTGTGTTTCCTTCTAGTTGAAGCATGTGCAATCTGAAATAGATATGCTAGAAGATCACAAGGAGCAACTGCAGGTGAGTTAATGGGATTACTATTTATTTTATTTAATTATTTTTCCTTTTTTCTCAAGTGTTAATTGTATATTTTTCTCATCAACATAATGGTGCTTAGATCTATTTGGAAGAAAGGATCCAAGAAGAAGATAGTTTAAATTCCAAAATTAAAGAGCTCGATATGCAATTGTCCATAGAGAAAGAGGAATGCAGAAGGTATGTCATAGATCATAGCCAATCTTAACTTGAACTTTTTCAGTTACACACTTTTTTGTTTTTTACAAATTCTATTTTTTTATATTTCAGTATTTCCTCCAAAATTAGGAAATTTGTTAAGGCAAATCATCGCCACTCAAAGATACAAGATGAACTGAAGAGGCAAGGAACTGTTTCCATTTTCTTGTATTTCCTTAACTGTTTTTTAACAGATATTGGAATATGTATATAGATCACAAGCTCGTCTGGAAAGACTTGGGGATCAACTTGGTTTTGATGCTAGAGCTGCTGCTAATGAAGAGGATATTAGCATTAATATATTAAGTGATGAAGAGACTTTGGGAAATGTCTTAATGAGCCCCAAATATGATACTAAGGGTCCACCAAGAAAGGATGAGATGTTAGTGAAGGATTTCCATTCCCATTCCCATTCCCCTAGCAAGAAAAGGATGAGGGTTCACATGGTAGATGCTGATGAAAAATCAAAACAAGGTAACATAACATTTATGATTTATGAATTTGTCTTCTGTTTGAAACAGAGTTAAGAAACTGATTTGTTTAACTAACAGGAGAATGGGTTGGTGGTAGAAATATGAGATTTGAAAGTAGATGGGACCCAGACCCACATCTTGGTCAAAAGAAAAACGATGAAATAAGGAATGTTAGGCCTTTTGTTAATAACTATGACAAGCCTACACGAAGAAAGAACACATTCACCAGCTTTCCCTTGGGAGATAATAAGGTGCCTTTTCCTACTTAAAAAAAATATCTTCTAGTTATTTGTATTATATGATTAATTTATAATTCAATTAAAATCGTGAAACTTGTAAAGATGAAATTTAGCTGTTAGATAGATGTGTATTTATTTTTGAATGAATTGAGCAGTTTAAGGAAGCAAAATCCAGTACTAGAATGGCAACAACTTTTGTGGATGAAGAGAATGAGGGAGAGTTGCCACTTCCACTTCCACCTCCACCTCCTCTTCCTCTTCCAATTGGACACAAACAGAGTGCTTACTTACAACAGGTCAGATAAGTATTAAGTAGTTATCTTCATTTTGCTTTTGATTTCTATTTGTTTCTTAAGAATTGCTACATTACCTTTATGCACAAATTAGAACAAGTCTTGTGTTTGACTATCAGTCATCAAAGTACCAATAAAACAGCTTAACATTTAGATTTTTGAATTATATAATTTTACTTAAAAAGATCCTCTGTAGTACTTGCCATTTGCCAACTTCATAAGAAATTATGAGTTGCTTTATTCATTTTCATATAGAGATTAGATTCTCCATCATTGAAGAGGGTATTTTAGACATTTGACAAATAATGAAAACAGTTTTGCCAAGACCATGATTGGATGTAGGAGGTTATTATAGTGGGGATTTAACATGATGGCTTTCATGTGAGATTTAATTTTGGATTTTGGATTTTGGATTTTGGTTTTGCAGTACAAGGGGGGAAAAGATGATGATGAGAATAATGTGGATGTGGTTGATGTTGATGACGATGAGATGCTGGATGTGGATATTGTTTGACTACTATTCTTAGTTATTTATGCATTTGTAACTGTAAGAAACATGTGATTATGATTATGAGGATTGATGATATGATGTTCCAAAGTTTTGTAAATACTACTTAAGTTTTGCATTGCACCTTTAGGCCTTGGATCACTGGAATCAGTTTAGAATTGTGGTAAAACTTTATGTCTAGTCGTCTATTCATTCAAGTTCATTTATCAAGTTCTGACCTCATCTGCTTTCGAATGTTTGTATGTTTTTTGTTTAAAAATTAAATATATATCATATAATTAGGGATCAAAGCTACCAAACCATATCTATTTTCTATAAACGTCTTATCATTTACTCATACAGACACTTAATGAAAAAAAAAAAACATAGCCCCCATATCATAAAACATGCAAAGCTTATTAAGGTGGTGTAATCACATCAATAGTAATTCACATGTTCTTTCTTACAAAACAATCTAAAAGCCTGAAAAAACAGGGTCATTGTAGTACTAGCTAGTGTATTCTTTTTCTTTGTCTAATAAAAACTACACAAGTAATCAAGAACCACTGTCTTACATAAACTACCACCACATCTAATCCACAACCATCAAGCTTTTGAATCTCTTCATAAGGCATGAGTATGATGCAAACAAGACAAGAAAGTAGAAAGAGCTCTGCTTAACATTGACTTCTTTTTACTTCCCAAAAGTCAAACACCACCAAAAAACTGTTCCAATGATGAAGAGTTGAAGACATTTGATGATGCAGTTCGTTCGCTTTTTGTTGAAATGTGAACCTGCTGTCTGATGAACCTCTGTCAACATTTCAAGGAAAACAGCAAATGCATTAGTTACAAGGACATGTAGGTTTTTTTTTTTTTTTTTTGGAACGACAAATCTAATATGTTCCTATTACCACTTATGTCCCAGAAGAGACTTGAACCCTCAACCTCAAAGAGAAAGGGCTTGTTTCTTTTTGACTTAATGGACTAAAGAATTGATGATATGACTTGGATTTGCAATAGTATTGTCATCATTGAAGGGTATTCTAGACATTTAACTAATAAGGTAAACATATTTACCGCTAACTGAGAAGTAATTTCTGGATTTGAGTCTATATGCCAGTCTGGCTCCAGCTGTCGAACAAAAGACATTCGTCCATTCTCTGTACTACAAAATAACACCTGCCATTACAACATATCATCACACAATTAATTATTAACACATACACAATAAAGTTGACATTTTTATCAACTCAATCCACAAATTATAACATATAAACAATAAATGTCTTACAATCATTACCTTTTCTTTCACCAAGCCACCGGTTGTAAATACCCCAGCATTTTCCAATGCTGTTAAAACCCTTTTCTGCACACACAAAAAATATTAAATTCATCAACAACTATTCTATAATGCATTAATATCTGCTTAAACTACACCTTAATATTTAGATTATAGTAATCGGATAATACCCAAAAAGGGAAATACTTACTTCACTTTCATCATCAAGAACTCTTTCCATGAGATAAAGATCAGAATACTTTGTGATCTCTGACAATACTTCCAATACAGATAATCTCACTGTTGCTTGATTCTATAGAAACAAAATCAAAATTATTGTTATGTTAATCATTATCAAGATTTTAATGTGTAAAAAAGACAATGACATGAAAGTGTCACATACTTGAAGCTCTTCGGGAGTGTTTTCTTCCAGTATAACCCCAAGCAACCTGCATGTTACCTGCACCAAAATCAACAATATAACAAAAACCATTATGTAAATGAGTAAAATTATATAGCATTATGCATTTATTTAATCATCATTACTAGTTTATTTGTATTTACTTAAGAGTATTTTAGATATTTGACATACCTTCCTTCCATCACTTAATCTTTGCCTGACTATTTGTCCCAAAGTAGCCTGCAGCAATAAATCAAACAATTTGTAAGTAAAAAGCCAAACAATACACAGTTGAATGAGAAGATTTTTGTAAAGAATGTCTGTTGAGATTTCAATTTACATTTGCAGGCTGAAAAAACTCATCCGTAGCATTCTGTGTTCTTGAATCTTGGGAAGATGAACTAACACCAGAAGGTAACGAATTTTCATTGTTATGTGAGGGAGATTGTCGTTTAGGTTGTCTTCTTTGAGATCCATTAGGCGACCTTAATGCCCTCCATGTAAAAATTACTGCAACAGCAAGTCCCGCTATAGCCCAAAAAGATCGCACATCCTGAACACCGGGATCTTGTTAATCAATACGATCAATTATTTGTAACAATGACAATGGAGAAGAAAGTAATTTTAGCATGAGATTTTGTCAGATAATGAAACATCAACCAATTTAATATTCCCAATTGAAAGGTACGGCAGTTTACGGCTAGAGTACAACCAGGACAGCGGACAGCTGACATTACTCTTATGATATACCCTAATTTTAAGGTTTTCCACCTTCACAGACATATATTTATTCAATGAAAATAACCTCAACAACAGCTGCAGATCAATTTTAACAAAAGTATCGACTGTCGAAACAACTCATAAATTTCTGAAAGGTGGTAGAATAATGAATTAGATGTTTGAACCTGGATGTTTAAGATTTTTGAAACCTTGGTGGATAGATAAACCCCAATTCTCTTAATCAGCTGTAACAAATTTTGCTTTGAGTAATCAGCCATGGCTCTAGGGATAACAATTTAATTTTACTTTGGGCTATCACCCGGAAGAAGAAAATTGTGAGCTGTTATGGGGATTTTTAGCGTTGCGGAGAGAGATCCAGGGTAAGGAGGGGGTTTGATCGATGAGTTTGGTACGCAGTCGTTGGTGAGAAGTATGATGGATAATGTGAACGAATATCAATAGAACATCGGAAGGAAGAAATGGGAGTCAAAATTGGAACCTATGGTTAACGCTTCCATCTCTTCTAATAAATTAAGTTTTTTTTACAATGTTTCCATGATTTTTTATTATTATGTTTCAATTTAAATTTTGAAAATACAAAATCATATCCTAATAACATTATTATGTTTATTTTGTTTAACAAATTAATTCATAATTACTTACAATCGATAATATCTTTGTTTTTTTTTGACATTTATTATTTTTTTTATCTATATACAATTTTTAAATATACCGACCGTGGTTTCCACGGGTTATAACCTAGTTTCGAATAAAAATATATTTTTGATTGTTTATTATATAAAATATATGAATGTTCACAAATTTTACCATATATTTATGAGAGATTATACAAAACAACTAAATTTTTTACAGTTTATAAAAATGACCATTCAATCCAAAATGGATTGTTTCGAACCTGGATTTGATCCGATTGATACTCACTCGTTTTATATGGTCTCGTGTTTAAAGGAAATCCGAAAAGTGGTACCCAACACATCTTTCCGGTGTTTCGGATTCTCCCAGGACGCAACATGAATTTGAATTTGAAATGGAAATCTATTTCCAAATCCGAGGAACATGTCCCGAAATGGAAACACATGATTTTGTTTTACGTAGTATGTTACTTTTGCATGACCGTTTGTATGATGTTTCATTAACTATGAAGTGTAATTTGAGATTTGGTAGCAATATATTTTTCAAACTACAATCTATATGTGCTTGAGGTGTTTTTGAAAGATACGTGCTGCGGGCGATGTCTTGATATCAGTCATATCACAGTTATGAAAGGGGACCTATGCTTTATGCATTATGTCTTATATAAGAATGTGTGTATAGATTCACAAAATAATTTGAAGGAAATATCTTTTAAGATATGTGACTACAAGCTCCGAACAAAGATGATTTTGTTTGATCACGAGTTTACAGTTTGGAAAATATTGTAGTCGTCTTTTGACATCGATAAGCAAGTGTTTATGTTCGTACGAGCGATTAAGAGACGCATAGATATCAATACAGTGGATAATAATAAAACTATTATTTTTATTTGTTTCAACTTTCAACTAAAAGGTTGACTTTAATTCTTGGAATTTTACAGTATATGAGTTATTAACAACCATAATTATTTTATTTAGAAGAAAAAGAGGCTTAAATAAATTATTTTAGAATGTGAGGACTCTATATGCCAATTCCATATAGTACAAGAGTTTTCTTTATATAAATAAAGCACAGTGTGAGGGCCTCCTTGTCACTAGACACTAGATATTTTCCGACTTCTTTTTCCGGACCTGAAAATCATAACTCGTAGTTTCCCCCGGCGACGCGTTTCTGTTCTTCTAGCAGTTCCTCCCCCCAAATCCCCATCCTGCCACCGGCCACCGTAATGCCTCATAATACGAGTCAGCTCTGAATCGGTAATAAAAAAAGAGACGAGCCTTCCCTCTTTGCCCTCGTACTCACGCCTCCATCAAACACACACCCACCTTCACTTCCTCATCCCTCCGGTCTCCTCCCACCTCCGACCGACTCCAGCGCCGCCGTATTTCTTTCTTCTTTGCCCAAACTCAGCGCTGCCCTCCATCCTCCGACGTCGTCTCCCTGTCCGACCACGCACATCACCGGCACACAGTACAAGACCGTCTCCGTCTCCCTCTCTGTTGTCGCACAGCGCCACTCTTTCCAGATTTCTGAAATCTGTAAGAAATTCTATAAATCATGTATTTTTTTAATGTTTTTTTATGATTCCTTGCTGAGATATGATTTTCTTGATGAAATCTTGTTGAAACCTTGCTGAAATCTGATTTTTTTTGGGTGAAATTCTGTTGAAAACTTGCTGAAAATCAATTTTTTTTTTTGAAAGAGGCTGAAAATCAATTTTTGTGGTGTTCTTATGCTGAAAGTCGATTTTTGCTTCGTATGTTGTTGAAATGCTTGAAATTTTGCTGAAAATAGTTCAGAAGGCTTCCTCTTGTGATAGTGATTCCTGGCTCAACAAGTGCTTCTGCTTCCACTTTATCTATTTAACTTTGGCTTATGAAATTCTTTGTTTGAACAAAGAAATAGCTACTGTAATCTGTCAAGCTTTTGATTAATGTAATTTTTCAAGCTTTTGAATAATGTATGAAACTATGATGTAATCTGTCAAGCTTTTGATTAATGTAGAGTAACATTTAATTCAAAAGAAAATAGTTCAGAAGGGTAAAATGGTCATTTTTATCATTTAGCATAGTCATTCAAATGTCTAACCAAACAACATGTTTTCATTCTGATGCATATTTTTCAGAGTCTCTGCAATGATTCAGATATGAATCATTTAGATGCTACCAAGCAGCCCCTAACTCATACACTCTCTTTCCCAAAAAAAAAAAAAAAATCATAAACACTCGTAATTTTTAATAAACGTTTTCTTAACATAAGATATTGCTTATTCTTTTTGCGATTATGTGATTCGCTGTATTGTTCCTTAATCTCAAAATATTTAAGCACATTGTTTCCATATATTTAGGTAAAAAGTAGAACAATAAGCTGAACTTTCATCACCATTGTGAACCCTAGTAATTTCCTTATTTGGAAATTAATGTAGATATGTTAAATTCAATTAGCAACTTGTTTTTTCAGAATTTCGAAAAGTATCCGTGTTTGCTATAATTTTCAATCCAATTAGCTTTTTTCTTTGATTTTTTTACCATAAATCTATAGTTTCTCAGTAATTGTTGATGCTTTCCTTTGTATATCATGTATCATTACCTTCTTCTTAATGGAAGAGTTTCCAGTTTCTTCCTTCCTAATACAGTGAAGCTTCCAACAGTGGAGTATTGAAGAACATGGAGCCTGTTCTACACTTAGGTGGTCTATCCCCAACTATACTCGGATCATTTTCCACACCTAAACACCATATCCCGAACCATATTGCATATAATTGGAGTCATCAATCTCATAACCTGCATACTAATGACAGAATTTCATCCCTCTTCTTTGAAAAATGCCACCAGGTAACCTAACCATGGCAATCAGTTTACGTTTTCTATATTCATCTCGAATTTTCAATTCTCTTATTTGTGGAACAAAACATGTTTGGTGTAGTTTCAGTGCACACATAAACTACATTGGGGAAAAAAATCAAGAACCTCCATTGTTGCTTGTTTTCCTCCTGTTCGTGATACTCGTAGAAACAAGAAACGGTTAACCCACACCCACCCTCAAAATACAGATCTTCCTCCGGTATTACCTAAGCAAAAGAAGAAACCATTTCCAATTCCACTAAAGAAGATCTTAGAAACTTCAAGAGCTGACAAAAAACTTGCAGAAAAAGGAATAGAAAAGCCCCTTGAGCCCCCAAAGAACGGGCTTCTTGTTCCTGATCTTGTTCCAGTTGCTCATGAAGTTCTTGATGCCTGGAAGATCTTGATCAAAGGTCTTTCACAGCTTCTCCATGTCATTCCTGTTCATGCTTGCAGGTTTGTCTTGTCATACACCTTTCGATTCATTCTTATCTTTTAGCTCTTTCAAAATTTGATTCCACTTACAGTTGTTGTTATGCAGCGAATGCGGGGAGGTTCACGTGGGTCCCACAGGCCATGAAATTCAGACTTGCCATGGTCCAAACAGTGCAAACAGAAGAAGCTTCCATTTATGGGTAAAAGGGTCAATAAATGACATTCTTCTCCCTATCGAATCATACCATCAATTCGATCCATACGGAACCCGAATCAAACACGAAACACGATTCGACTATGATAGAATCCCGGCGATCGTTGAGCTCTGCATCCAAGCCGGTGTCGAATTACCAGAATACCCTTCACGCCGAAGAACCCAACCCATCCGAATGCTGGGCAAAAAAGTAATCGACCGCGGTGGAATCATCGAACCGCCCAAAACACCCCCGCATTCCGAGGTTTTGGAACTCGACACGCACCGTGCTCTCGAGCGATTCCCGTGTCCGGCGGAATCAGACGTGGTCGGAATCGCACATTCCACACTAAACGCGTATGAGAAAGTGAGATGGGGTGTGGGGAAGCTTATGAGGAAATACAGTGTGAAGGCGTGTGGGTATTGCTCGGAGGTCCATGTGGGCCCGTGGGGCCATAACGCGAAGCTTTGTGGGGAGTTTAAGCATCAATGGAGAGACGGGAAACACGGGTGGCAGGATGCCACGGTGGACGAGGTTTTCCCGCCAAATTACGTGTGGCATGTTCGGGATTTGAACGGCCCGCCATTGAAGAGTTTGTTGAAGCGGTTTTATGGGAAGGCTCCGGTGGTGGTTGAGATGTGTGTGCAGGCGGGGGCGGTGGTCCCACGTAAGTACAGGCCGATGATGAGGCTCGATATTGTGGTTCCGGATAACGAGGAGGCTCGGTTAGTTGCTTAAAAAATGACAATAGTTGAAGTGTTATTGTTGTTTGTGTAGAATTGAAGTGGTAAATTCGTTTCGATTGTAGCTTTATATAAAACATTACAAAAGATCCCATACAACAAAACTCAAATTTGGATATATGTATATGTAATTCTCATTCACAATATTTATCGGGGATACAAATGTAAATATAAATCTAAATTTTTAGGTAAGGCCACCGTTTGAAAGAGTTGAAGAGAAACTTTCCATGTCTTCTTCTATCGGAATTTCAGCAATGTCTTCGATGGTGTTTGTTGTATGAATTCCTCTTTCAATCTTGAGTGTCGTAGTTCCATTCCATAGTATCATTTCCCTTTCCAAATGAAGACAATAACTCTCAAAGACACGAGAGGTGACTGTGAGCTCAAAATCTAACATGAAAAGGAACTCCACTTCAAGCCTGTTTAACTCGGCATTCGTCACACCCCCAACTCGGGCATAAAATGCGTTGTTGTAATGTCTGTTTTCATGCATTAAATCAAATTAGTTATCTTATTCTCATGCTTTTGTATAAAGATCATTACAAAATACAATAATAAAAATGAATAAAAAAAATCACTACTAAAGTTTTATGCTGAAAAAGATAGTTGATATTGTTGATACCGAAACTTAGTTGTTATGAAAAACTGACAAATAAAAAATAATTTTTATAAAACTAACTCATAAGTTAACCGAAAGAATGTGTTTTTTATAATTACTTAAATGTATATTTAGAAAATTAAAAAAAATATCATTTATATATTTGATAAAATTAAATATTTAATAAAATAATAATGTGTAAATTAGTGAGGGAGAAATGAGGACATACACGTCATCCAGAATCTTAGCAGCCACCATAATACTTGTAACAAGCAGTCTATGAACATTTAGCCGCACCACTAGCGAACCGGGATGTCTGTGAACCAACCGGTCTATATAAACATACCCCACCACGAAACAAGCCGGGCTACAGTTTGTGTACTTGTATATCCGGTCTAGATACTTGGCTATCGTGATTGCCGGCGGTCTAACGCCGTGAAACGCATCCAAGTTTTTCCCCAGCCGTGCAGGTGCTCCGCCGCCGCTGCTTAAACTCAATATCTCATTCCGGTTCACTAGTCTTTCCAGAACAACAGATAAGATCGACAACACTCTTGGGGTCGCCGGATCCTGTTCGCTCTGCTCCGGCAGCCGGTTCTGGCCATCATCGGTGACGGCGATGGCTAACATGTATGAAGCAGTTGTGGGGTTGGGGAGAAAGGTGAGAATTTTATTGGATGGGAATTTTGGTCCTATGCATGTCTATCTATGCCTATTGGCCTCATGAAAAGTTTACACTAATTCCCCCCGGACTATATCCATGTTGAATTTGGAGCCGTAATATATTTTGCTTATGATTCTTTCTCCTTTAACAGGTTCCAAAGTTACATAACGGATTCATAAACGGTAAAATTGACATTTTGAGTCTGTTAGATTATAGTTCCAACAATAAGACCAATGGGTATGTAGAATGATAAAATGTTAGAGAAGAAAAAAAATCAAATGATCAAGAATAAATGTGAATTATTTAATTTGATTTGGTGATTTAACTTGAAAAGTTGTCGATAATATACAATCTCCGTTAAAATACAATGAACTGTTAATTTTTGTTATAATCAAAACATAAAAGATAACGGAATTGAACACCTAATTTATAGTGGGAAACCCAATTTCAGGAAAAACCCACTCGAAGAACACTATATATTAATCTCTTTAATTGAAAGGTTACAATGGTTAACGATTCTGAATAAAACAATAAAACGGGAAAAAGAGATGATAATAAAATATAGAGTAAATTACACGAATCGTCCCTCGTGCATATGACAAAATGAATATTCAGTCCTTATTTTAAAAAAATTAACTCGGACCGTCCCTCGTTTGATTAAAAGTTGCATGCTTCATCCATGTTAGTTTAAATTTGCACGTTTCATCCCTTGCGAGACATGAAATGAATATAATGCCCTTTTCAATTTATTTTTCATTAATTTTTTTATATTTCTTATTATTTTTAATTATTAATTTTTTTAATTATATTTAATATATATTTCTCTTTTGCTTTGCTAGAGAAAACTTAAACACCACCACCAGAAACCCTCTTGACTACCGCCACTGACTACCACCACATTTCCTTTCATTTGTTCACGTCCGACGAGTACCACCACCGTCAGAGATGTGGAACAACGTCGGAAAAAACATCAATACTGTCGGTTTTTCTCCCTCTCACCTGATTTTCTCCTGAAACCCTTGAGCATTCATTGCCATCTGTTTCCTCAATCTTCTTCCCAAACAGAGCAGAGAAACACAAAACACACATACATACCTTGCGTGTTTCTGCTGATACGAGAGAGAGAGAGAGAGAGAGAGAGAGAGAGAGCAAACAAAAGGTCACCATCACCACCTGTGCGTTAGGGTTTTGAGAAAGAGGGGATATGTAATTACGAAAGTAGATCAACAGGAGATGTGTAGTTTCAGATCTAACATTTTAGGGGTTTCATGATGGATTTCACTTTGGGGCTTTCAGATCGAGCATCACCACCACCAGGAATTGGAGGTGGTGAGACGAGTTTGGAATCTACAAATCTGATGGTGGTGATGCATCAGAACCTGCGTTGAGCGGCGATGATGCATTGGAGCAAAGTCACATCCTCTCGATCTTCTTTTGTAATGGGAGAATCCATCACCAGAAAGATATGGAAAACACATATCATATCTTTCATTCTCCTCTCGAATCCTTTAAGAACTTGTTGAGATTTGAAAATATGAAAATGTTTTTGAAGTTCATGAAGTTGAAGTTGAAAACTTTCTTGAAGTTAAAAGTTGAAATCGTTGCACTTTTGAAGACATGTGATGGTGGAGATAGGATCGTCGGAGAAGCATAAGGGGGTCACCGATTTTGGTCTGGGTGGAGTTCGAAGAAATGGAGGGAGGGAGACGAAGTGCTTAGGGAGTTAGGGTTTACAACATATTTCTTTTATTAAAGATAAAAACTAATTATTTTTTATAATAAGCAAATCAATAAATAATAAATATATAACAAATAAATAGAAATTAAATCAAAAAATAAATAAATAAGGGCAAATTTTTTTTATGTCCGGAGGGATGAAACGTGTAAATTTTAACAAAACAAGGTACGGTCCGAGTTAATTTTTGAAAATAAAAACTGAACGTGCATTTTTTCACATGCACGAGAGACGGTTCATGTAATTTTTACTCTAAAATATACCATCTAACTCCCCTCCCCTTTATATAGGAGAATAAATGTTATTCCTAATATAACTCTAAAACATAGATATAGATAACCCAAGTAAAAAATGTTGTCTTAGGGAACAAGGAAAAATGACAGCTATCATGTTTGTTTTTGGAGCATATTCAACAATTTTTAATCTTGAAATACCAACAATCTATCTTAAAACATCTAACTGGAAAATTATTCTACTTTGTTAATAAAAGCAAGTTCAGATGTCATTGTTTATTAATTATGAGTTGTAAGACATTCATGTTATTACATCATTTCTTTAGTAAGATGGACAATCCACCTTCGTAAACCTTACAATTTTGGGCCTTATCGATTTAATTATCAATGTTAAAATCAACATATTTGTCATAAGTTGAAACATTTATTGGGAACTTTCGGACATTCAGTTAGTAGCCAAACTATTCCCTAAACTCCATTAGTAATCCAAGTTTATCTTGCTTTAAACTGCTATAGAAAACAATACAACAATATTATCTCAGTTCATACGTATGGGTAAGTAAAAGATAGGATGATCGTAGCACCTACCATAAGGTGGGGATATAGAGAACAATTACATGCACTATGTTTCTAATTTTGGAACTGTACATTAAAAATATTAGAACTACAAAACTTTAAAATTTTTATACAAATAATCCAACTTTTAAATATTGTTATATAAATCAATAAACTTCATTAGCGCGCTATAATTTTTAAGTCAAAGCTATTCAAAACAAATAGTAGTGATGAAATGAAAATATGTAGTTACTAATTGATATTTGCCTTCAACCAAGACAAATTAGGTACCTAACCGAGACAAACGAAAATATTATGGGTCAAATCTGTAGTATAGACAGAGTCTAGGGGCTCTAAGTAATGTTCTCTTTTAGGGTAATGCTTAGTTGTTTGCTTGACACGTGGCACTCAGAGAAAGGCTGAAAAACATGGACCTATATGGATATTCTGTGGATAATGAGGTAATTGTTTGTTTGGTGTTTCATGTTCGGTATCTTTCATTTATCAACAAAAGAAAAAGTAACACATCCACACTCAGGGCGGATTAGGCGGGGGAGGATAGGAACTTGTTTCTTTCTCTCTCTTTTCTTTTTGGTTTTAATGTTAATTTTATGTTTCATGTTATAAGAATTTATTGGCTTATGCTTATGCGTACATCATTTTTTGAGAAATATTGTCTCTATAAATTTTGAAAAAAAAAAAAACTATTCTTAATCGTTTTTGTAGTTAATGCGTATTGTAATATGAAATAATTTTGTTTTGAGAATACATTGTATCCTTTAAGTAAGGCCTAATAAACTAGAATAATTACTTGTACATGTATATATGAATTATTGAAAGACACATAAAACTAATTTGTCTTTCAATAATTCATATATATACTTAACACTTGTAATTTTGTTTGTCATAACGGAAGTATAATTGAATTCTTGAATTTAATAATTCCGGCTTTACTAAAATAGACGCACTTCATTTGAATATATTGTATTCTAAAAAGTTAATGGTGTTAATGCATTTGATGTATGTAATAACGGATGATAATGAATCGTGTTGGATTCTTTGAGTTGACGTGTTTAATTATGGATATAAATCTTTAATCTAACACAAACTTTTAACACAAACTTTTTAAACAAATGGGTTGGGATCATGTTGATCGTTTATTTTTTTCCAGCCTAAATCAACATGGTGACCCATGTTGACTCACATGAATCACAAAATCCAAATAAAACAATAAAAATGATTACATAAAATTTGAATAAGTTTTTTTAACGACTCCTGTTATAATAATAAACTACACCAATAATGAGACTTGGAGCGTGTTCGGCAAAATGAGCTGGTAGCGGGTAGCGTGTAGCGTTTTGTTAAACGCTACATGAAGTAGCATTTAGATTTGGAGCGTTTTGTTTAAACTAAACGTTAGAAGCTTGTAGTGTTGAACGAGACTTGCTGTTCAAAACGGAGCGTTTTGTCAAACGCTAGAAGCTAGAAACTCTAAAACGCTCCCAAATGTTCCGTGCCGAACACACCCTTGAACTCTCAACTTCTTATACAAATGAAATATTTTCAAACTCTCGGTAGTGTAAGGATATATACCTTTTTGTTTTATAAACCTAAATAATTGATGAGAGTTATAAAATAATACTATAAATACAAATCCATCGTTCAAATAAGATAAGAAATGTCTAACTTTTGATATGGGAAAAATGGAAAAAGAGAATGCACGAGTCAGTTAGATTTAAAGGGTGTTTGGAATTGTTTATTTAAGGTATATTTTAGCATATTGAGGTTTGATATCTCGACCTACACAAGATGTTTTTACGCCTATCACATACAACTCGACAACATTACACAAATTTTCACATACAACACTTAACACATCCTCTCTCTTTTTATAGATGTAAAAAACACTCAAAGCTTAAATAAGTTGTTGACAAAATAAAGAAAGATTGAATGTTTGTTTGAATAATGATTATCATAATATTACGAAGACAACTTCAACTAATCGATAAAATTAAAGTTAAATTTATTTATGTATGTATGTTTGTGTATGAGCAAAAACCCAATTGAGAACAACAAACATGAACAACAATTTGTCAACAACAAAATCAATTGAACATCAAACATTCACGAGCAAAAAATCAAAACTCTTGGAGAACAACCAGTGTTTTAAAAACCGGTTTGAACCGGCCGGTCGAACCGGTTGGACCGGGAACCGGGAAAGAGAGCGGTTCAACTTATTACGAGATCAAACAAGATTGAAACTGATTCATTACTTTGATTGAAACTCAAAATGAAGTTTATATACAAACATCTAAAAGGGAAAATCAGCTAACAACTAATAACCACTTACTAACTAACAATTAGTTAAATTACTAAACTACCCCTGTCAGTTAGAAGTGTAATAAGCGCCCCTCAAGATGGAGATTCAAGAATATATGTTCTTTAATCCCATCTTGAGCATAAAAGGTATCAACTTTGTAGCTGGCAACGGTTTAGTAAACATGTCGGCTAACTGATCGGGAGATCTGATTGGCATCAATTTGATTGTCTGGTCAACAACCTTA